GTTCAAAAGTTTCAAAGGGTGGTAATGTCAAAATCTGGTCTTTTGTTAATGACCATGAATTATTCTGGGTAAAGAATCAAGGTATTTTATTTTGGGTTTGAGACAGGATAAGATATGTCTAATCTTGCCATATGTCAAAAATCTTTAATTCATTTAATATTTGAAGAACTAAAGATTAAAAATTGTTCAATTATTCCACCTTAGAAAGTAGCATAAATTCAATCGTTTAAAAGATTAAGTAAACATGAAAGATCAAAGACGTGTTCAAACAAAACAATGCTCTAAGTGCAAATAGTATATGCAATACCCCCTTCTTCGGCTGTCCATGCCCCCAGAATCTGTCAGGTTTTGGATCTTACGCTTCAGTGCCTTACAGTTCTCAGAGGAATGTTTGGAGCTTCCTATGTGGTAATTGTAAGCAGCTTCAACATAGTAGCCCTTAGGATATGGGGACTCCTTTCTCAGATCACCCTGGCAGGCTTAGTCCTATAATCAGCTATTCAACCTCCCATTTTACTGATTTCAGTTTTAAAATCTTGCTTCCGTGTGGTGTCATGTGGTTAAGACCACTTCATCGAATCCTCCATGAAGAAATTTCATGTTTATGAAATGCTTAAAAATGAAATGTAAATGCAAAATGGATAAATGTTCGAGGCATTGATCTGAAAATGTGTCTGTTATTATAAATAATCCTTATTGGGGACAAAAATGTTTTATCTTTTAAGAGACAAAATATTCTGACATCTTCTGACATGTTGACTAGTCTTCTGTCTTCGTCTGTCACCGGTTGAATAACATGTCGATCCGCTCCGGCTTCTCTGGATGAATCGTGCAAATGTTGAGTTCTTTTTGTACTGGCCCAAGAAGTCTCGAATGACTGCATCTCTGGCATTTATCTTCTGTTGAACATGTTCTCAACGAATATGTCATTGGATCCCTCAATTGATAGGAACTATATGAAGTTCATTTGTCTGTTTCTTGAATTCAACAGCAATGGTCTCTAATTTCCGCTATCGTTTTGCCATTATTGTATTTGAAGGGACCCCCAAGATCAATAACCTTCATCTTGCCCCTGCAACCTCTGTCAGTCAGTTCTTCAAAGATAGGCTTTCATTGTGCTTGATGTAGACCCGATTCATCCTGTCCTTTATAATGCTGCAGCAGAGTGATATACTCTTTAATTGTGGGCACCACGTCTTCTGGATTGAATGTGACACATAGTCGCCTTGTAGACTGTCCTTCTGCATTTTCATCTCTTGTATTACAACCCCTTTGTCCATTAATACAGATTACTCATGTTTAACAAACACGTTTTTGGTAGATCAACACCTCTTTTAAATGATGCAAGTGATAAATAAAATGAGAGAGAATAATAAAAAGAGTTAGTGAGGTAAAAAAAAAATCCTACCCCACATGCTTTAATTCCTACCCGGACATGATCTATATCCCCATGATAATTCCAAACAAATCCTAACCACATATTTGTCTAGTTCGCATGCTTTGAACAGAAAGTAAAGTAGGAAATAAAATCAAAGCAACCTAGGATTTGGAATGAGGTTTTGGGGGGCTCTAATTCCCTTTACTCTCCCGGTTTAGGTTCTAAAAGGGTACTCGAGTTCTCCTTGCTGGTGCCCCCTTGGGCTTGACAGACCCTTAGTCTTAAGCCCATTACAAGCTTGTGTGGACTAAGTTAAACTCGAGAGGACACATTCCCTTATGTCTGTGCGGAATAAATTCACACGAAGACATAAGGTATATGAATCCCGAAGGCTACTTGCTAGGCTCGCACGGTGAATAAATTCACACGAATGCGTCACTTTCACCCCACTTAAATAGGGTTCGGAGCTCGGGTATAGAGCCTGAGATGATTTTTTTTTCAAAAATCTGAAATCATTGAAAAAACGTTAGTACACCTATTTATTTGAAAAAAAATCAAAGGTAAATAATTGTGATCGAATAAATAAATTAAATTTAAATTTACCATTTTCGTATAAAAGACAACCGAAAATTAATTTTGGCCTGACTCACTTACCTGTCCCTAGCGGAGTCGTCCAAGCTGTCGGAATCATCTTTCGGTTGGACCCTGAATTGGGCTTCGAACTTGGATTAAATGAATTGGAGTCGCCACCGACCATTTTAAAACGAATTTAGGTGGTCGGACACCATCTTTACCTGATCTACGTTTTACCATAAATGTCGGTTCGGGAGTCTATTACAGTCAATGAATGATTAGCACCATTGAACCGCCCTTTCGGTACCAATTAATTTGTCGTTTCTTTAATTGCGAAAATTATAATTTAAATTGAAATTTAAATTACCCAATTCGAATTGCTTACCTTTAATCGATTGTAATTTCTCTAAAAAAAGGTCGAAAAAAATATTAGACAGTAAATAATAAATAAATGTTAAATGAATCAAAAGAAAGAAAAAATAAATGAAATAAAAAAATAAAAATAAAAGAGGTAAAAAAATAATAAATAAATAAAATAAATAAATAAAAATAAAAAGTTAAATCTTAAAAATAATAAAATAAAAACAACTAAAAGATAAACATAAATAATTCTAATTAAAATTAAATATAAAGTGAAAATTTAGAGGAGTAATCAACATACATGAAGTGACCAAATTGAAAGGAAAAAAAATGAGTACCATATATGAAAATGCATAACTCCTGGATGACTTGAGTGCTAATTAGACCAAAAACTTTCCAAATGCACTATAATCCCTAACTCACGCGTGTTTTCATCTTCCTCGCCTCTGATGGCTCTCGGTATTTCTTATTCTTCGAGGCATGCAGAGTTTTTCGAGAGATTGAATGGCTTGCACCCTTGTTTCGAATGTTTCCCCCTCTATTTTTTGCTTTTGCTTTCACGCCTCCCCTCGCTGTGTATTTCGTATCCATTTATAGCCTAGGAATTTGCTAATTTTAGAGAGTTTCCTTTGAACTCAAATGCTTGGTTTGTTAGTAATAGAGTCCTATTGAGACTAAAATTGTTGACTTGGTGATGTCGGTGCCGTAAACTTCGAGGGAGGTTACTGGGCGAAAAGTAGTGTCTACAAATGATAAAGTCTGTAATTCACGATTTATCATTTATAATTAATGACATGAATTTACCATGATATATAAATTAAATTAAAATTTAATATTATATACGATGAGAACTAAACTTAAATATTTGAAAGATTCGAAATTTGATCTTGTAATTAATTCTAAAATAACTCGTTAAGGGATATTGTTGGCGTTATCGAATGTGGTACTTAGGTGTGGGTAATAGTAATGTAGATGAGGAGATTGAGGCTGGAAAAACCAATTAATTAGTCATTCAATAGTGGGAATTGCAGGAAATTGGTGAATGGTACCGAGCTTTGAACAAAGCGGCAAGGGGATTGTGTATATATTTGGGGATGTAACCGATTCACATGTAATTTATTAGTGAAAATGGTAGATTCTGACAGTTATTCTCATAAGTAAGAAGTGATATTAAAAAACCATTTGAAATTAACAATGAGAGAGAGAGAGAGAGAGGGGAAGACGAACATAAATGAAGGGAAGAAGAGTTGGGTTGAGAGCATTAAAACAGAAGGGGGAACCGGCGACGATGAAATCGAAAGATGTTGAAGAAAGCGAGGTGGGTTTACAATGGTCATCTCCCTTGAATTATGCATTTAAGGGAATTAAAGATGGGGCAGTTAATGAAGGCAGGTAGACTTCTCTCTCTCTCTCTCTCTCTCTCAATGCTTGCTTTTTAATGGCTTTTGGAACTGGGTTCGAACCCTTTCTTTTTGTTTTTACCAAAGATTAATAATAATCTCCAGTCTTTGAAAGGGTCGATTAGGTTACGAAAACAGCCTTATTTTAGAAAATCTAACAAGGGTTGTGTATTTATGTCACCTGTTGTCTAGTCTCTGTTTAGGGTCCCTTACCAATTTATATTTGGTTGGTGAAAACTTGGATCGCCTTAACCGCCATGCACCAATCCCATCTATACATTCAAAAACTATTTCTCTTTCTTCCCTGCTTCCAAGCGACAAGGTTTTCTTTTCCCCATATCACGGGCGAGTTCAATATATGCATGAATATAGTGACAGAGTTGGATACTGAAAGGCCAATATAAAGTCATTGAAGGATTTTATTGGTTATGTATTTAAGAAATATTGTACGGACGATTGAAAACTAAGAAGGCTCGTCTCTTGCTGGGGTTAAAAGGTGCAAATTTGGGACCTTAAGATTATTGATAGGCATGAAATGACGCTTTTAGCCGATGGGAAATTTTATTTTTTTGGTTTGATATAGCTTGGAGGGGTGTTGAGAGCTTTAAAAGCTAGAGTCCATGGATTGATTAATTGATATGAGAATTTGTTGAAATAGCAAAAGCAGAGTGTTGAAAGCTTTAAAAGTAGTGGTTCTTTGAGTGACTCAATTGTGGAAGTTATAAAGAACCATCGGCATTCAAGGCTAAGTTCCCCCCTTCAACTGTTTACAGACTTGTCATTTAATGTCCACAGCTCCCCCCTTCCACACCTCTCACCGCCTTTCTTAAGTATCCAAAACTAAATTGTATTGTCAAGTATGGCTTCAAAAGTTAGGAACCCCACACCCTTCCTCGTAAGCAAACTAGCAAAGTTAAGCTTAGGTTTTCCGGGAGTTAAATAACGACTGCAACACATTTACGGTCATGATTTAGTTTTGAATCGGCAGGGGTTATAAGAGGCATCAAGATCAGGTGAAATTTATATATAATTGACCAAAGATAGAGATTGGTTAGAACTTCACATCTAAGCTTTGAGTAGCAGCTGGTTAGGTTAATTGAGGCCAACTTGGATTGCACGTCATGCATAAGTAGCCCTTCCTTTTCGTTAATTTTCTTCCATCAATAACTTTGCCCTTACACACCAAATTTCAGCCTATATAACCACTTAAACCATTTCACCCATCTGATCACCCTCTCTCTCTGAAAAGACACAAAACTGAGATAGATTGTGTATAGCTAGCTTTCGAGTTGTTCTTAATTTCTATATGATTTCCTTTCAATCCCCCCTCTCGCCTCCAGACATGATCAGAAATATTATCCCGGAGTTTGAGAATTCATCAAAGAAGAGAAAGTTGGCAGATTCACAAGATGATCATGAAGAAACTTCAGACAAGCGATTAAAACCTGAAAGCGTGAAATCGATGTTCAATATGGAGCTACAGCTAGAGACTCCTTTACCTTTGGAGTGGCAAAGATGTCTTGATATTCAGGTATATACATACATACATAATGGTATATGTATAATTAGATGATATGCTTCAGCAGTAGTATACTGTTACATAAACAACCCCTATAACCTTATAGTGCTTTGCTTTCTTTTGTGTTTAGTCAGGGCAGATACACTTTTATAATACGAAGACCCATACGAGAACTTGTAAGGATCCAAGGAGAAGCCTTGAACCCCCAAGTCCTGGTCACATGAGCTTAGACCTTGAGTTAAACCTACCGTGCGATTCATTAGTAAGGAAAGTTAATACAACTGATCACAGATTATTCAACAAGCAAAGCTCTGTCAGCCCCACGAGGGCCAGTTCCATCGAAAAGAAGACCAACTCATCAGGCGGACTAACTCGCAACCTTTCATGGTTGGCGATGGACGACGATCAGCAAGAGCAAGAGATGGTAGCAACAGTATGCATGCGGTGCCACATGTTGGTGATGCTTTGTAAGTCATCACCTGCATGCCCTAACTGCAAATTCATGCACCCACCAGACCAAGGCCCTCCAAAGCTATTCAAGCGAAGGCTTAGCCTCCTGTGCTAGTAAGGTCAATCAAGTTCTTTTATGTTTGGGATAACAAATCCACTCCAACGTGTGTTAATTAAATCTGTATCTCTTAATTCGTATTGAAAAGCTTAATAGTCTTTCTAGATTATATGTATAAATATAATTTATATATCAGCTTGTTATCCCCGATGAAAATTGTCTTCTGAGAGAGAGAATTAAGTCTAGTACTGACTTGTATGATTGAATGTATATACATATATGGTGATGCTTTATATTCTAATATTGTTTAAGCAAAAGGCTATTATAGTGGGTAAGAAAATGGTAGTTCAATAGCTATCCCTCAAATACGGCCTCAAAACTCAGTGTCAAGCGTCTTCAATGTTTACACAGGAGAAACCTAAAAGGGTTTATGGGAGATTAATCAGAAGCTATAGTGCAACTAACATAACCTAAGACTGTTGAGCAGCATTAATTGGTTTCATTGTGGGTGAGAAGTTGTAGTGGGTGTAGAATTGAATTCAAGTGCGAGATCTGGCTAAACAATGTTCAACTCTATTTTCCTTTTTTTTCCTGTAATATCTTGAGAAATTTGCAGTTACATATGAAACCCTTACATTATTTCCCACAAATACCAACTACAATGCAGTTGGAGTGTGTCTATATTATAAAGCATAGATTGGATAAGGAGGAGAAGTTCGGATGTTATCAGATAGCATATTAGGTTAGCAAGAACCTCAAGGTATCCGAAAAGGGTTTGGTTGCAAACAATATTATGGGTTTGAGATGGACTATAAGTGTTAACTGTGTGTGGTATAGCTTTAGATGTTTGGTATATAATTATAAATGTAAATTAATAGTACTACAATATCACTTGTCGCTATCAGGTGGTTCGAGTCTGAAACCGTAAAGGTGATGCAAGGCCAAACCCCCAAGCTTACAGAGTGAAGAAACAGATCATATTCATGTATAACAATGTAAACATGAACTTAAGAAGTAACTTTACAAGCTGAAGCTTGAGAGGATTTTCCTGTAGCAGAAGGAAAAGGAGAGGTGTAGTGTACCAGTGTCACGGTAGAGTGATGGGAGAATTAGGCATATTTTTTTCTACTCATGTCCAACCATCATGCTTAAAAAGGTGTCTTAAAATTCAGGAAAGAGTTACCATCATTCTCGAGGGGGATAGGGTCACTTTCCAGGACTAAAAACTTAATTTGCAAGTGCCTTGGATAACACGTGGAATTGACATGATTCTGTTCAGAATTGAAGAGAGATATCTAATTGTCTCTCAATTCAACTTAAGATCAGGAAAAGTTGTTCCAGTGAAGGAGATGAATGTCTCCTTCACAACAAAGGTTGTTAGCCGAGAACCATGGTGGCATATACAGGTCGATTCTTAAATCTTATAATATTGATAGATATAAATAATGTGTATGTTAATGGTTGAATTTTGTAGGTGCGTCATCTTGGTTTAACAATCCACGTCTTCCTTTTATATTTAATAAAACAATAGAAATAACTTATTTTTATAATATATAAATTTTCATTTTTATTTACAATTTAAAATTAAATTATTGGGATTATAATACTATTTATAATCTATTTAAATTAATATTCATTAAATATAATTATATTTTTAAAAATTCAATAAAAGAATTATAATTAAACGTTAATATTTAGTTGTAAACTTTAATGGAGAATAGATTTAAAATTAAAAATTTTATTTATTCATTAAAAATATCACAATGAATTTATTGGGTAAGATCAATACTAAATTCACGTCGTATACTCTAAGATCTTATAGGGTCTGTTTTGGATAAAATTTACATCCCTTAACGATGGTTGAATTCAAAATATTGAATAGTTTGGAGTAGAAATTGAGTCTAAACGTTAAAGTTAACAAAAAAATATACACCTTTTAAGAATATATCAATAATTTTATATATGCTCAATTAAATTTAT